GATAGATGTTAACCCAGAAATAGACCTAAAATTAGGACAATATGACAAAAATGCCATAGGACTTAAAGGAAAAGGTAGAAACCATGTGCAGAGATGGGAAATTGAATAAGTCAAGGAAAGTATTCTAAAAACCAAAGGGAAATGCTATAAATAAAATAACAGTATTAGAAGTAAATAACTGGATGAGCTTATTATCAGTAATTGGGGGGAGGAGGAGAAAAAAACTTGCAAATAGGTAAATTGATAAATTGAAATATAAGGAAAAAGATACATAAAACAGTATTTGAGACCTATAGAACAATACTGCATGGTATTGTAACACTGGAGTGAAAAAAGAAGAGGATTGAGAGGATAAGCAGAAAAAAATATTCATAGATTAAAAAATGAGAATTTTCTAAAACTAATGAAAGATATCAACTTATACAGAATTGCAGCTGGCACCATGTGGAATAAATGCAAAGTATACCATACCTATGCACATCATAGTCAAGATTCTGAAAGCCAAATTTAAAGGGAGGGTCTTAAAAACAGCCAGAGAAAGCATGTGTCACACACAGGGGTGCCAAAATATGACCCACAAATGAATTTTTATCAAAATAGCAAAGACAAAACAGGAATGACATGCTAAAATGCTGAAAGAAAAAAAAATCTGTCAATCTAAACTTTTATATACAGTAAAAAATTTATTCAAAAATGAACATAAAATAAAGATATCCTTAGACAAACAAAAGCTGAGAGACTTCATCTCCAACAAATGGCACTATAAGAAATGCTGAAAGAAGTTCTGAGGCCAAAGGGAAGTGAGACCACATGGAAAACCAGATCAGTAAGAAATGGTAGAAAAGTACAAGAAAGGAAATATCTGGCAAATTAAAAAGAGACATATATTCTAATACATCATATCTATCTATCTATCTATCTATCTATCTATCTATATATATATATATATATATATATATTTGCCCACATATATATTTAGACATTTCTTAAAAAAAACCCAGTGTATAGTGGATTAAATAATGTGTAGGAATACAATACAAGAAAACAATATCATAAAGACTGGGAAAGGAATAAATGGAATTATGAGGTTGTAAATGTCTTATATGCCCACAAAGTAGAATAATATTGTTTGGAGGTATATGGTGATAAAGATGTAAATTGTAATTTTCTAGAGCAACCATTATATTTAACATTAAGAATAAAAAGCTAGAAAGATAATCCAGAAATTTAAATGAAATATTAAAAAAAAATCTCAAAGAAGTCAGGAAACAGGATATAGAGAAACAATTGACAAATGGAATAGATGAATGAAAAGAATTTCCCTTAATAATAATAATAATAATAATAATTATTATTATTATTATTATTTTCTTGCAGTACTGGGGATTGAACCCAGGGGCACTCTACTGCTGAGTTACATCCCCAGTCCTTTTTACTTTTTATTTTAAAACATGGTTTTGTGCTAAATTTCCCAGGCTAATCTTGAATTTGAGATCCTTCTGTCTTAGCCTGCCAAATTGCTGGGATTACAGACCTGTGCCACCATTCTAGGGCTCAAGCACTATTATTGAACACTGAATAGTTTTTGGAAATTAGCTTCTGCAACTGACCTGGTAATATTTCTTTGTGAATTTAAACCAAAAATACAAGACAAAATAGAGTTTGTAAGCAAAACTTATTCTGTTGTAAAAGCCTTTGGACAGAACATGCTGTCAACAGTTAAAACAAGAAGCAAGATCTCCATTCCAACACAAATTTGCAGCAGTTATATTTTTCTGAACTCAAACTACAGTTACAAAAATGTCTTTTGGATTTCAATACAAGTGCAAAGAACTTTCCTTATTTAAAATGCACTTAACTGTGCAACTGGAGGAGCTTCTACCTAACCCTTCAACTGGAAGTGACTAATCTGCGTTGTAATGGCATGCTAAAGGGAAAACATCAAGAGAATTTGAAGAATTCTAATAGAATTTTGGAAATACCTTCTAAGCACTGAACATGCTTAAGTAAAATTATAGACTCATGGATACATATCAATATGTAGCAGTACTTATCTGGGTGGAAACATATGAAATATGTACAATCTCATAAAAAGCATTAATGAGATGAACATTTGCAATGGATTTGATGAAAGAGAACAATTACTTTGAACCCCATGTAAATGAACTGTTCCCCGCAAACAGAATCCCATTACTCTCATTAGACCTGTATTAAAATTGCTATTTTTATTACACTTTGCATTTTAGCAACAAAAAACAATGGCCATTTCCCCCCTTGTTATATAAGTTTCTACATAATGCCCTCTATTTTTCTTCTTAGTCCACAAAACCTAAAATATTTACTATTGGGCCTTTTACAGAGACTGTCAGTTCCTAGTCTAAGTGCAGTTTTTGCTACTACTGTGTATTTTTCTTTGGAACCATACACATTCTATCTCAAACTGCTACTTCTATGAACAACTTGAAGAAGTACAGAGGATTTAAGGAAAGGAAGTTGAAAGTTAATTTAGTCCTGAGGTTAAATAATAGTTGCAGTTAACATTAATTGAACACACATAATACATGGCAGTCTGCTGAAGAAACATTTTGTACCTGTGGTCCCCCTTATCCATGGTTTCAGTTATCTGTGGTCAACCACAGACTGAAAGTATTAAACAGAATTTTTAGAAATAAACAATTCATAAGTTTTAAATAACTGTTATTACTATATGTTGTGATTGTCCTGTTTTATTGTCAATTCTTGCTAATCTCTTACTGTGCCTAACTAACAAAGTTAAGCTTTATCACAGGAAAGTATGTATGAGAAAATAATATACACAGGGTTCAGTACTATCTGTGGTTTCAGGCATCCACCGAGAGTCTTGGAATGTATTCTCTGTGGATAAGGAATGGAGAGCTCTATTCTCTATATTTTCTCATTTAATGTGAGAATCTTATTAGTTATGTGTTATCTCCCCCCTCCTCATTTTATGGAAGAGTAGAAAATGAGCTGTCAGAGATCATATTGATAAATAAGTGATGTAAAGGTTCGTAAGGGACTATAAGATTTAACTCAGCAATGGGCAATCGGAACCAATGTCTGCAAATATCATTGAAGAGAAACAAAGATAAATAATCGGGGAAGTGTGTGTGTGTGTGTGTGTGTGTACACGAGTGTGCGTGGAGGGTCAAAGACAGGAATTTTTGTGGATAAGACTGAGATCTCTTTGGGAAGGTAGGTCTACCAGGTGACACAAAAAACTGTTAAAGTTCCTGGAGGCTCAGAGAAACCCATTTCCACCTTTCTGGCAACAGGACACTTTGCCACCCAACCCTTTACATTTTTTTTTTGTGTGTTAGTGTTCCAATGAATGTGTGAACCAAAGTATTGTTTGTAAAAGTCTGAACACATTTTATAATGCAGAGACATGAAGGAAAGTAGGTAGGGAAAATCCACCGGGTGGGGAGGATCTGGGATATCCATCCTGGTCGGGTGTTGAAAATATGAGAGTGTGTGTATAAGTAAACACAGGCAAACACTTATGCATGTGCATCCATATGATATTTACTATCAAAAGATTAAATTACAACAAATTCAGCCTTCCGTTCACACATCAAACCTGTATATTATGTATTAGCAGGGTTCAGAATTCAAACACAATTACAATGTACTCAGTCGCCTGCGGTGGACTCTCGAGAGCATTTGAAGAGACTATCAATAACAATAACGGAGTGATCAGACCACTTGAGCTCAAGGCTGGAACGCTCGCCCCACCGCTCTACTTCCTCTCCACTGCTTTCCCAGCCCACCTTCCTCGCGCCGGATCCCAGGGCCGTGCCGTCGGCCAATGACGGTTTCGGAGAGGGTTCTGGGGAGGTGTGTTATCTGTGGGAACACGTCCTGTCAACTTTGTAGTCGAGTCACCTATTTCGGTTGGTAGCGGCCGCTATTTCTTTAAAAGGGCAGTGGATTTCGAAACGCGGAGGGAGGGGGTCAGGAAAAGGAACTGGGCTGCCTTTGATAACTGCCCGGCAGCCTTCCTTCCCCGGAGCGCGTGCTCGGCTGGGGAAGCGCCTGCGGCGGCCGCGTCCCGGGCCGGCGCGGGCGCCTCCTCTTTGAGGGGCGCCCACCTTCCCGGGGAATCCCCCCACCCAGCAGTGCCCTGCGCCCGCGGCGCGGTCGCCCGGCTTTGTCTCCGGCGTCGCGCTCCGGCGCTCGCTCCCCACACTTCCCCGTGTGCAGTCTGTAACCCGATCTCCCATTTCCTGGTGGATTCTCTTAAAGCGGCAGCGGTCGAGAAGCAGAACAAAGGCTATTGTTTTATTTCCTCCTTCGGATTCCGCGTCCTTCCCGGAATGCCCCTTCCTATATCGTATACTCTTTGCAACGGCGCGCAGGGAAACTATTTAAAAGCCCTGGTGCATTTCCCTGTATCTAAGAAACGGAGGTAGGGGGAGGCCGGAGGAGTTGAATAAAACCTGTTTTGCGGTTTCTGGGGCCACAATGTAACGTTTTGTAAACGTGTCCTCCAGGAGCCGGCAGTTGCCTGCTGGGCTCGTCCGCCTGGGGGTAGCCCGCGCTGAGGGCGGGAGCCGGGTGCCGGGGGTGCCCTGGGGGGCTGCGCGGCGCAGTCGGGGCCGCAGCTCCGGGGCGTCCTCCGCCCGCGCCCCCTCGGCCGCCCCTCCCCCGCCCGGCTTTTATTTCCCCGATGCTGGGCTGTAACCCGAGCTTTTATTTCCTGGTGGCTCCTTTAAGAGGCAGAGCTCTGTGCTGGGAATTCACGTCAGTTTCTGCACTGAAACTCTCAAGATCAATGAGCAAAGAGCTTTCTCAGTTCTGCCTTTCAGTTTCTCTCTTCCAGGAAGGAAAACATTCGAGAGAGCGAGGGAGAGCGGCGGGAGGGCGGGGGCGGGCGCGCCGGCCGCGGGTGGGAGGAGAGACGGGAGGCCGGCGGGCAGCCCGGGTCGCCGCGCCGCGACCCGCAGACCCCGCCGCCGCTCGGCCCGGCTCCCACGCCCCCGCGCCCCGCGCGCGCAACTCTGCCGGCCGCCCCGCCCCGCCCGCGGCGCGCTCGCAGACCCCCGGGGCGGCTGCCCGAGAGATGCTGGAAGAAACTTCTTAAATGACCGCGTCCGGCTGCCCGCGGAGCATTTCTGGGTTGGGGAGAGGAAAGGAAAGTGGAAAAAAACTGAGAACTTCCTGATCCCTCTCGCTGTGAGACATGTCTGAGACTCCTGCTCAGTGTAGCATTAAGGTAAAGATCGGCTCCCCTCCCTCTCGGTGGTCGGAAAACCTTGAGCTGCACCGGCCAGGGCAGTCGTGCCGGGCTCCTCGGAGCGGGCTGTTGCAGTTGGTCTGCTCGCAGTAAATTATTTGGGGCGCGAGGCAAGGAGATGCAGCTCGCGGCAGCGTCTGTACCCTTTAGCGTAACCTTGCTGCTCCCAGCCGACGAGCCCCCTGGTCCGCTCCTGGGCCCCCACCCCACCCCCTTTCTCTTTGACAATGAAATGCCCGTCACAATTGGTTAGGAGGAACCCGGGTTCTCCCGAGCTGTTAAACACCTCCGTGATTAGTGCGCTTAAAAAACAACAGCAACAGCAACAACAAAAAAATCCTGCTCCTTATTCCCACACCTAACATGTGACTAAAATGTAACTTTTGTTCTCGAGGGGTGGTCTCCTTAGGAGAAAAAGTTCTCCAGCCCCTATCGGAAATGGAATCGTTTCTTTCTTTTTTTATAAAGGACTCCTTGGATTTGATCACACAGGATCCACCCCCCCCCCCATTGTAATTGCAAGCACCGTCTTGGTGCTTGGAGAGACAGTCTTGGTGTCAGCTTTTCCTGGGCATTGCACAATGAATTTTTTTTTGTTGTTGTTGTTTTTAAGCCAAGGTGAATAAAGTTGCTGAATAGTTATTTTTACTCCAATGCATATGAAAGTTGAGCAATCTCAAAAGTAGAAAACTCCTGTGATGCAGGGAGGAAAAATAAGTGACCAGGCAAAATGACCTTCTCTGTTTGACAGTGCAAAGAGGGTATCTAAGAGCAGCAATCTCCCGGTTCTCTGGCCATGTTTTGCAGTATTGTAAAGACAGAATAGATGCTTGAATACACAGTGCTTTCTTCTAAGTAGTCGCGATATGTAATCTAAAAAGGCTATGGTACCTCGGTTTGTTGCTTTTAAAAAGTTGTAAAGTTTGCCACCATTGGGAGGCAGGATGATTTGTCCATCTCCCCCGATTATTTTTCCCATCTCTGCATTTCTTACAGTTTATGCTTTTCATGGTTCCATCAGTACCCAGGTGGCAAGCTTTCTGCTCCAGTGAGAAGCTGAAACTGCTGAAGTTTGTTTTGGGCTTGGCCTATTTTAATATGTTCATTGAATGGACACTGCAGAAACAATGGACATATAACCTGTTTTCTTAGTCTAAGGGGAGTTAGAAAAATCTTTCCCGTTTTAACACCGCTTTTCAACTAGGATGTATGCAGGGGAAAGGCGGCATTTTTTTTAATCATTGCGTTCTAGGTTTTCATAATTATAATCAGATTTTAGTGTTACTTATCAGGAAAGATGGTCATGGGTTTGAAGTAAGGCCAATGTGAACTCAAAAGGTGGGTTGGGTTTCTTTGTTTTTGTCTCACAGAAATGACCAATGGAACTTTTGGGCTTCTGTGTTCCTACATATCTCAGGGTATGCATAGAGAGGTGCCACAGTAAAGAACTCGGATACTTTGATACCTAAATTTCTTTTGCAATGTAAATTAGATTCTACATCTAGTTCAGGAAAATCCTGTGGTATAGATAATCTAATTTATTTGACACTTCATAACAAAAACAGAGGTAACTAAATAATAGGGAATTAAATCAGTAAATTGTATTTGGCTGGATAGCAATAAACCTGCCATCAGGAAAATCTGGACCAGCTACTGAACTTTAACTTTAGGATGAAAACAACAAAAAGCAATCCATTCTTGTGACCTCTGGTCCGTCCCTCTTATAAAGAGATTGTTCTCTGCTGTTCTGATATGCTTATAGTTCTGTGCTGGAGACAGAAGTGTCCTGAATAGTTATTCATTGTACTGTGGAAAAAGTACATCGGTTCTTTATACATGCAGAACCAAACCCAAAGAAACAAAGCACTTTCTTAAATGTGACATAAAAATTGTGTCCATAATTTGCATATCATTTCTCCCCTTATTGCTTATACTCTCAGGTTGATCTTTCTTTTTCTTTCTTTCCTGCTGGGGATTGAACCCAGGGTCTTGCTCAGACTAGTCAAGCACTCTATCACTGAGCTACACACGAGCCCGTTAGTTTTTTTTAGATGCCTCTTTTCATTACTGTGTACTTCTGTGTGATCAAAATAGATTTATTATTCTTCACCAGTCATGAAAGTACCACTTTTATTTTGGATTGTTTGGATTGTTATGGAACCAATCTGTGAATATTTGGTGAAACTGTACGTGTTTGGATGCACATATGTGAAAAGTATCTTTCCATGGAGTTTGTTGAATTCATGATGTTCTAACAACAAGCCTTAGAGATCAACGAGCAGGATTATTCCAGGTCATCTGAAAATGTTCTGGCGATATGCACAGCATTTCACTTAGTCTTTGGGATGTGGTACATAATAAGAAATGCTAGTAACCCACAAACAAGTTGCTTCTTCTGGAGTCAATGCTTCTAGAATTCAGCAAACAATAAAGTTTTCTGTGGAGTAGAGAATGAATGTCAGTCTTTCAAGGAATGAGCTGATGAGCCTGATGTACTGAAGACGAGTGACATGGAAGGCTCTCTGTACTTGGAGAGATTTCTTTCCCTCCTCCTTGCCACTCCTGAAATCTTCCTCACTTGTTCTCTTGCCCTATAAGCAGCTGGTCAGCCGGTAGTAAATTCCTCAGTAGCTGGGGAGATGGAGCACAGAGGAGCCTGGCCAGAGGTGACCACAGAGGGAAGTACTTGTTTACTTCTGAGCAGAGTCTGTTCTGCTAAAGCAGAGTAGTGTCTGATTTGGGTGGAGTTCCAAGGTGAAATTTCTGAATTGGTCAGTTGGTGACACCTTTAGGTGGGTGGCTGACAATGAATGCCTGATAAGGGCTTTTATCTTTTTTTGTGGTGCTGGGGATTGAACCCAGGGCCTTGTGCATGTGAGGCAAGCACTCTACCAACTGAGCTATATCCTCTTTCTTTCTCTCTCTCTCTCTCTCTCTCTCTCTCTCTCTCTCTCTCTCTCTCTGTCTCTCTTCAAAAGCACCTTCCCATTACCTTAGGAAGTTAGTATCAGAAACATACTTTTGTAAAGAGAGGTTGACCAGTCCAGGGTCACCCAGTCTAACTTGAGCCTCTTCATGTTTTGGCACTCTTGTCACAAGAATTTAAACACTTCAGTCCCTGACCATTTGGGGGTTGTTTTAACTATAAGAACAGGATCTATTCCTTTCCATAAAAAGTTGAATGTTTTTTCAGAGGTGTACACTGATCACAGAATCAGGGAAGAACCCATCTTTTCCATCATTAGCCTTCACCTTTAAGTCACCTGTTCAGTTTTTAAAGTTAGCCAAGTTGCAGCGGAAGATGGTGATGGCCCAGCTGACAGTCTTTTGCAAGGCTTGGCATGTGCTTTCCTTGGCCAGGACAATCCACAATACAAAAATTAGTCGCATAATGTCCCTGGCCCCCCTCTTTCTCTGCCCTCCTGGTTGGTTGGCTTTCATAACAGAATGGACTTTTTTTTTTTTTTCTAATTTTGTTGCGAACTGAGCAACTGTCTGGATCTCTTCTGCTGGACTCTAAGCTCCTTGGATTTAGTGATGGTTATCTTAATGACCTAGTACCTTGCTTGGCAGCTGGTGCAGAAACGTTTCTGTCATGTTTACTGACTTGAAGTGAGGTGTGGAGGAGCTGAATGCCCTTTCCTCCCTGTGTTACCTCAGGGTGACTTAACACCTTCATCTGGGGCTTGCAAGAAGTGTTTAATAGGGCCCCTCTATTGGAGCTATCCTTGAGTATCCAAAAGTTATTATTAATAAATTTGATATGATTCTATTTTATTATGATATCAAATCTATTTTATTAAATTTGAGGATAAAATCCTCAAAAACTGTTTTTGTCTAAATAAGCAAAAAATAGAGAAAATGGGCTTAAGGAATCACTGTCAGAGTTCAGATTAGCAAGTGTCTTAAGTTCTTCCAGTTTTTCATCAAAAAATATAAGACATCCAGAGTTGAGAGATCTTAAATATACCCTGGGCCAACCTCCTGTTTTATTCAAGGGGGTTTGGAGAGCTAAGTGGTTTGCTTTAGCCTAGGGGTGACTGAGCCAGATTTGGAGGAACACAGGCTTATAGGGTCTCAGGCCATTGCACCACATTCTTTGGGTTCATGGTGTATCTATAAAAGGCCAAGGAAATTTGATACAATAGGCTTCACTCTCTCCGGCACTTCCTAGCATGGTCCATTTTAATCACAAGCCAGCTGGTGTGAGGGCACAGAGGTATGTGCCAAGGAAGATGGTGTGTGGGAGCATTGGGCTGCCAGGGTCTTGTCAGGTGTGAGAAGAGGAAGTAGTAGGAGGCAGGGATGAAGGAAGAAGGGCCTGGTGGACTTGTGTTTGCACTGCAATTTGCTGCAATGTATATTTATATTTAATGGTGTGTAAGTGCCAGGCAGTTCTGTTTTGGGCTGAAGGCACTGGTACCTGCTGTCAGGTCCCTTGTGAGGATCCTCAAGGGGGCCATGGGCTCTTTTATCCAGGGTCAGCCAGACCTATTTATACCTCCACTTGATGTATAATAAGTTCCCTGTTTAAAAACAGTGAAAGCTACAGAAATGGCAGCTGATCCTAGAGAAGTGGCTATGGAAAGTATTCTCCTTAGGGTAGATTAGGCAGGGGGAAAAATACCTCAGATGTGAGTACCAGAGACAGGAAGAACTAAGATTCTCTCAGTGAAACTGCATTTACTTCCACCAGGGAAGGTCAGGGGTAAGAGGTGGATGGGAGTAACTTGAAGAGCAATTTCATTTTATTATGGATTTTGAAATTGCCCTTTGGTGTGGATCTCGGAGGGAACCAGTGTCAAATGGCACTCTAGAGTGTGGGGTACAGAGTGATACATTTTTCTCTGTGGATACCACGTTAGCTTGCTTTTAGGCACAGTCTGCTGCCACTGTGTTTGTAACACACAGTGCTACATGGTGCTGAAGGAACCAATCTCTGTGTGTATTTGTTGAAAAGAACAGAATTCCCATGCTAA